CCGTACCCATCTATGGTATCCAAATGTTTCAGTTCTTGATATCCTTGGTATCCTTGATATCCCAGGTTTGGGTCGAGCCTTTCTGTGGGGATTTTCATGGTCATTGTGTTAGAAAGTCAAAATCTGCCATGCTCGGATCTAGCAGATTCTCATCAAGACCAAATCCGTATGTGCCGACCATGCCATAGATCAGATCTGGCGGAGGGAATCCCTGCGCCATGGCGTTGGCTCCCCCAGGGACATCGCGGCCTTCCACCGCAGTGTCGTTGCTTCCTTGGAATTGCCAGGCAGCCTCCCAAGAGTCAAAGCGCTCAAGCATCTTGCCTAATCCACGTGCGATATGTCGAGTAAGATGTCGCTCGCCTGCAGAGACACAATTCATCAATTCGATCACGCGCTCAACTAGCCGTCGTACTTGGCGAGAGTTGATGCTAAGGTAAGCTGTGTTCCAATTGATTGCGACCTTGAGTAGGAAAACAGCGGAGAATGTAACCATAGTATGGGTGAAGATCGGAACACCGACGATCGCATCCCGAATATCAGGCTCCTCAAGCACCATATTGAGACATGCCATCGCAGAAGAAATTGCAATGTTGGCCGATTCCTTGCGGTCCATAGAGAAGACAGGTGTGTTGGATGGTGAGAGCGCACGAAGAGCAAGCGAGTTCAGCTGGAACTTTGCGAAATGGTAGTGCAGAACCACACCTTTGGATGGATAAGTTCGCACATAGGCGCTATCAGCTGTGATACATTCCAAGGTATGTTAGAACCGAGAGTTGCTGAGAATCACGTTGAGAAATCACTCACCAGATCGAGGCTGCCAGAGAAGTCGCCATTGGTCTACTGCGACATTGTATACGCGCAACTGTCCAAAATCCTCGTCGGTCAATGCTTGTTCCGTGTCGCTACCAAACATTCGATATGCCTCAGTTAAAATCATAAAGAGAGCAACTTGAGCTAAAAGTCGAGTGTCTCCGGGGACGACCATCGGCAGCGCGAGGAAGGTCTCATAGTTGCGGATCACCACATCCTCGTGAATGACAGGTGGCCGCCCATAAGCAATACTGAAGTGATGGTCGCACACGTAGAGCAGATACCAGAGCTGGGCGCGTTCATACTGATCCGTGTGTCCACGGGTCAGGCGCTGATAACTTTGATGAAGACCCATTTCGGTCGCGATTCGTACCGCATGTCCGGACAACTTCCAACTCAACTCTGATAGCCAGAACGCCCCCACGCAGAGGCCTCGGATATCATCCAGTGTGTGGGCCCGCGTGAGGGCCATGTTGGATACGAGCGATACATACTCGCTGTAGCACCGGTTCAAGGTTTCGGTGCGGTTCGGAATATGGAGTGCCGCGACAGTCAAAACTGCAGCAGAAAGAAGCGTCGATGCGCGGCGGACGGACGTTAAATCGCGGTGTACGAGAATTATTCCACCCCACAGTAGCTGGTTCATAGTGCGACTGAAGTACGCGAATAATTCCTCCGCTTCATGGAGGGAGATCAATCGCCGCGAGATAAAATCTTCCTCTAACAGCGTCTGTTTCGGTGCCTCGACATGATTGTTTCTCAAGTTCCGTAATTTAGTGACCTCGTATAGACTGCGCATAGGAGCAGGGACCAATTCTGGGTCTTGGAGATCCTGCTCCGGTGACGGTTCCCGGGTAACATCCATCACAACCCCCAGTCCCTCCTGACGACTGGTTTGTGCCTGCGACCGATCGACGGAGGGATGGTGGCCATGATACGAAGCGGCAGGACTGGGACCATTGAGGGTGTTCCCAGGAGCATATGTTGAGAGCTCAGGTAGTCCGCCTTGTCGCAATAGATGCGAAACAGCCGCCTGCAGCTGGTGTATAGTCGCATTGGCCTGTGATTTCCATCTATACCAGAGCCATTAGATTAGCGCAGCCCCTGATAGCTCCAAAGCTCACCAAAGGGCCGGGCGGGGTCACACGTACATCCCATCATCATCAACGAATTTCTGTGAAAAATCGTTTACGACGCATTTGATACCACTGCGAGTACATTTTGTACAGGATGACTCTCCTGATCGAAACTCACAGCGAATCTTATGGCGCTTGCATTCTGCGCCTGCTCCCCGTTAGTTGGGGGTATCGGAGATGATGTGGGGAAGACTCACATGCACGAGCTTTGGAGATCTTGGGGACAGAACGTGCCTTGTTCTCTCGGGGCGACCCCAAGCCAGCGTCATTAGGAGACCGTTTCAGTGGAGTAGTGGTATCCATGATGTGATGCTAGTCGGGAGAATATTGGGAGTCGGTGATACTCCGGCATACAGGTTAGGGGCGAAATCTTCTCCGGGGTGGGGTTGAATCGTCGGAGTAAAGCGAGCTGACACGAGTACGCCGAGGAACTAGAGATAAATCGCCGTTGTACTTCAAGAAGATGTTATGGCCAATTGGGGTAATGTAGTATCAAGAAAAGAAGAGGAACAAAGACAAGTTGTGTGACTTGGACCCCCGCGGACTCGACTTCGCCGAAATCCACACGTTGACAGTATTCTATTCCTTACTCCGTACTCCGTATACAACAAACCCTCGAAACGTTGTTGAGTTTCAAGATTACGGCTTTAATAGATTTGAATAATTGAATATGCTCCATGAATAGAGTCTAGTATACCCTATGTCTTTGACTTGAACTGACAGGTCACAGTACTGACAATTGAAGCATTCCCCAGGAAGCAAGAGACCCAATTGAGACGGAACAAAAGAGGGCCCTGAAAGACCAAACTCCAAGGCGATTCGCGCGCGGCAGTTCCACAGCAGATCCACTTGGAAACTGTGCTGTGCCGGCCCAAGTCCGGTGCGGAGGGCCAGCTCAAGATCGCCTCGGACTTGATGCGAATGCGGAGAGAAAGCTAAACTTATAACTTACATTTCCCTCCCATATTCCCTGTTTATTGCACTATTCTCGAGAAAATGCATGTCCTCATCACTGGCGCTGCCGGTTTCATCGGCCAATTGCTTGCAAAGGAGCTGTTGAATGACCCAGCCTACCGCGTCACACTGACCGATATACATCAACCCCCGATTCCCGCGGGTGTTCGCTATCCCCAATCTGCAACCGCAATCAAGGCCGATCTCTTGACAGGAGCTAGCGACGTTGTCGATTCTTCCTTGGACGCCGTCTATGCCTTCCATGGCATCATGTCGTCCGGCTCCGAAGCCAACTTCGACCTGGGTATGAGCGTCAACATCGATGCAACCCGAAACCTGCTGGAGGCGCTCCGACACACCTGCCCTGGGGTGCGAGTCATCTATTCGTCTAGTCAGGCCGTATACGGGCAACCGTTGCCAGAAATTGTGAACGACAGCGTGATCCCGACTCCGGAGTCCTCCTACGGCGCCGAGAAGATCGTATGCGAAACGCTGGTGAACGAATACACTCGCCGCAAGTTCATTACTGGCTTCACGCTGCGATTCCCTACCATCTCTGTCCGACCGGGTGCGCCTACTGCTGCAGCTTCGTCCTTCCTCTCCGGCATGATCCGGGAGCCCCTCGATGGCAAGAAATGTGTGATTCCCATTGAAGATCGACAGTTCAAGTCGTGGCTATGCTCGCCTAAGACCCTTGTGGAAAATCTTCTTCTCACTCTCCGTCTTCCTGCCGACTCTGTTCCCCCGCACATTCGCCAGATTAATGTGCCTGGGATCTGCGTCACAGTCCAGGGCATGATGGATGCTTTGGAAGCAGTGGGCGGTGCAGATAAACTAGCTCTTCTTACAGAGAAGGAGGACTCTACGCTGGTCCCGATTTTAAAGTCATGGCCGACGCAGTTTGATAATACTCAAGCCATCTCTTTGGGCTTCAAACGCGACGAGTCTTTTGAGCAGACCGTGCGGGATTATAAACAGTCATTGTCACAATAATTACTATCTCAAGTTTACAAACTTCAATGATACCATTTATTAGTTGATTTCTAAATTCTTTTGTCATTTTACCTACGAAAAAAAGACAAAGCGGGCATAGTTGGTTCCTGATATATTGGTTCCTGATGTAGACCAAGGTTGTCCAAGGGTGTCAAGTAGTCAGCCCAATTCACCACCTGGGCACCGCCCGCTCTTCCTTGAGAACCAACCCACCTCCCTTCAAATTCTTGGCTTGATCATCGGGAAAGCGCCTTGGGTGAGATACTCTATAATCTCTCACTCAGAATAATAAACTATTCCAAAATGCCAACACAAATATCCCTTCTCGTGTACAAGGGCGTGCCAGTAGACTTCTCCAAATACCGGCATACAGCGCTGCACGCCCTCTACTCCGACGGCCAACACGATTGGCTTCATGCCGTCGGCGCACATCCTTTCTTTAAATTCCAAAAAGACAGCGAGAACCCCATGTCGGAGCCACCAATAGCTTGGATCCCTGTATGTACAGTGCCGGACTCTGTCACCAAGGCGAAGATCATTTTTGCTTGTGCTTGCACGTCGGTGCGCAATGGAAATGGTGATCGAGACTGGAACTGCCAGAACTGGGTGGGAGAGGCTCTGACTGAGCTCGTTAAGATTGGCTGTTTGACGAAAGAAGAGCGCGGAGCGACGATTGGTAAAATGGTGGAGACCATCTTAGACGCCGAGCTGGAAGATGTGAGTTCTGTTCTGAATATCTGTTCCATGAAGAAAATTATATGTACTAATGTGGACTGATTATTTGTGCGTAGGATGGGATGTTTTAGTCTCGAAAGCAAATGCAGATGAGGGATTGGGATGTATTGATATGGCTAACTACTGAGCCGAGCGATCAAGGACGCCTTGAATGAATTGAGAAGGTAGCTTTTCAAATGCTGTGCCCGAAGTGATGCGTTGGCCTGTTGAAACATACTGCTTTGAAAAAATATCCCATAAGCTCTCACGGTATTCATCGCCAGAAGATGGGCGCGGACAATAAGCTGCGGTCTCAAAAAAGGCCTTGACTGCTTTCCCCACACCTGCAGTATCCATCGTAATTTGACCACATGCATCAAAATCAAGAGGCTATAGGCACACAGCTCGTTTGCGGAAATTTGGGAAAATGTTTGTGGTATGTTCGAAAGTACTTGGCCCTGCTTCCAACTGCTTGATGTCGTGGAGAGGTAACGAGCAGCGAATAGAATTCCTATTGAGAGGCGTACTACTCAGAACAAATTCAATATCCATGGCGTCAATTTTGGTGTTCCAGCGCAGCACTGCGAGTGCGGATGCCATGGTGCTTGCATATGATTCTGCTTCAAGTTCAAGTGATTGGACTTGGTCGACGTGCATTTTGTAATTGCGCAAGGAAAAGAATCTGGTGCTTGCTCGTTGGAAGGATCCGTGCCGCTTCCTTCCCAAATGAAGATGGATAAGGCAATCTTTGTTCGGTCTGCTTGTCTTGATTGGCTTTGCAAGGTCGGGGCTGCAAAAGATATCGACAAGGGCGTGTCGGATCGTTTCTGGCAATGGATACAATCGCTCCATACACAGAACATCTCTTCGGCGCTTTCGAAACGTCGGGTCCACTGGAAACAATTCGAGGTTCTACTCCCAGAACTCAGACTGTTTATACGCGAACCAAGCTGCACGAGGGACCTCGATATCCCCTGCAATAGGTCCTAAGGAATCAAGACTCTACTGTATGCGCAAATTCATAATGTAGTGGTTCCATAGCTTCTCAGTGCTGTCAATAAGGGGTAGCTTAGATGCCCACGGTGTTCCAGCCTGCTCAAAAAACTTTTCCGATTGAGCCTGTTCCAATCTCACGAAAAGGAGACACCAGACCAACAGCGGCCTCTTGAGTTTGCGATAGGGAGGACGATGTCGAAATTGCGGATTTTGTGGATTAGTAGACGTCGTCGAAGGAGCTCGGGTGGTTCACTCGCTGCCTCTTCAAGCTTGTCGGCAAGCTGTAGAGTACTCTTCATTTCCGTTGCTAAAGAACTCGACAATGAAACCTCTGAAACCTCTGAAACCTCTGAAACCTCGCTCTCTACAGACCTTGTCTACCGGCCATGTTGATGTTGCTGCTCAACTCTGGAGTTAGGAATATCCTTCGAATCGAACCCATCAAGGTACTCACATTGAAAAGGAATTGGAGTAATTAGATGGATTGAAAAAGGTCAAGGTGAGAAAAGTTGAGGTTCTCTGACTTATGAAAGTGAGAATGAGATGTTAAACGAAGAAGTTGAGGTGCTCTAGCTTGTGAAAGTGAGAACAAGATGGTGAACGAAGAAGTTGAGGTACTCTGACTTATAAGAAAGATGAAAGTGAGGACAAGATGATCGAGCTCTAACTTACGAGAAAGGAAAGGTTTGAAAGTGAGAACGAACGGATTTGAGTGAACAAGTTGAAGTTCTCTGAGGGGGGAAGTCAAAACAAGAAAAGTATTGAGGAAAGAACAAAACACAAGGATGGGCTTTGGGAAAGAACTCGTGCGTATCATCAGTTTCCTTATCAGCAAGCGTCAGGGTATGTATCCATGGATCAAAATTTGTTCTGTGGGTTTCCCTTCATCTGGATCTTCAGCTCTTCCCTGAAATGGTTAAGGAAGTTCTTATACTCGGAATCTAACCAGCCCTGGAGAACAGGTCAGACACACTATTCACCGAAGGTCTGTGACAGATAAGCATGGCACTTAGTAGAAGCTGTTACTGTGCACTAATCATTTGTGTATAGGATCAGATGTATTGATATGGCCATCTCGGTAACTACATACAAAGCTGGATGATCGATGATATCTTCAATGAACTAAGCAGTTAGTTTCTGAAACACTGTCTCCGACCTGATCTTTCAGCATGTTAAGACATATTGCTTCGAAAAGAACATCTCGTAACGGTGTTCATCACCGGAAAATGGGCGTGGACAATAAGGAGCCGTGCCCCAAAAAAAAAAGAAAAGAAAAGAAAAAAAAGCCTTGACTGCTTGCCGCTAAAAGGTCTAAAGCAAAAACCGGACGGGCGAATTAATTGAGGTGCTCTTAGCCGTGAGAAAGTCAAAATAAGAGAAACATCGAGGAAAGAACAAAACATTTAGGCTCCTGCCACGGACTGTCAAGGGTTGACTTTAGTGTCCCATGCTTCCACTCGTTGGATAAACAACCGCGACAGAAATCGTTGCTTTTCCCTTTCTTGAACGTCACAAAGCTCTAGGCACTCATAACTGGTCTGAATGTATTGCTCTCGGAATATGTGTCCCATAGGGCTTTTCCTGGACGAGGATAGAAGGGATCGTTTCTCCAGAAGGCATTCACGGCTTTTGCAACACCATTCTCGTCCATTGCCATATTCCTGCATAGATCAAAATCTAGCATCCACATGCTATGTCTCCCCAAGGCATTGTCGATGCGACCACCATCTTTATCATTGCAGGCTGCGAGGACAAACTCGACATCATTGGCATCTATACCAGCAATCCAGTGCATCATAGCGAGTGCTTCTGCCATTGTTCGGGCATATTATTGTAGGTCGTCTCCTGTGATCGCCAGCTCATCTAGTTGGTCTTCATGTAGCGGGTAATTTCGCAAAGAGAATGCTTTGAACCGTGAGAAGGTCTTGGAATCCCGGGTATGTGTTCGGCGTCTACCCAGATATGGTCGAATTAAGCAGTCTCGATCCGGCTCACTATTGATGATCTTCTGTCTGATCTCATCCGGGCAGAATGTTTGAATAAGAAGGTGTCGAGTTGATTCTCCAAGCGGTGGAATGCGTTGTGCTTCGATCATATTGCATGGTGTATAGCGTTGTGGGAATCTTTCTAGATTTGTAGCCCACCACTCCTTGTTCTCTGGCTCGAAAAAGTTGTGACAGGATGGTATCTGGATTTGAACCTGACTAGACTTTTTCAGGTTCATAAGGGTTCGTCTACTTTCAAGTACGCGGTTGTGCATTTCGAAGTCGTTTTGGAGGGATCGTGTTGGGTTGCCGTCCTCCCTCTTGTAGGCGGGTCCTGTTTCGGATGCCCATAAAGTGCCGCAGGCACCACGACCGATGGTGTGTAGTTTGGCCATTTGAAGTAGTTTACATGATGTAGATGATTTGAATAATCTCAAACGTTGGATAAAGTAGGGATGTGAAAGAATTTCAGAGGATGGGTTGCATCTCCCGGTTATATACTAGCTTACGGTCCGATGCTCCAAATGGATTCGGAGCTATTCCAAGGTCCTAACTAGGTTTGTTAGATGGTAGGGCTAACGTCGAGATTGATTTATACATAATGGCCAGATTTCCGAGCATTAATCATTCCTATCTCCCTTATCAACACGTGCCCGTCGCGTTCCTAAAAAGGCAACATCACTCCGCGTCCAACCAGCGAAACTCGCCTTGATGATAATTCGCCCTATTGATCTGCCACTCCGTCATCGGGCACTCGACTCGCCATGAGCGAGGAGTGTGCAAACCCCCTACTACTAGGGTGGATCAAAGAATGGCTGGATCAAGCTCGAGAACGAAACAGCAAAGGCGTGACCGTGTACGCATCTCTTGGCGCCCTTCGGGAAAGACTATATCTGACATCTTACAGGTACAAGAAGGCTTATGAGTCAATGAAAGCCTGTCCATTAGAATTCCAGCATCCATCTCAAGCACAACAATTGAATGGTCTCGGTCCTAAATTGTGTGACCGCCTGACTGATAGATTAAAGGCCCACTGTCAAGAAAATGGGCTTCCAATGCCGGAACCGCCTGAAAAAGGTTTGTTGTATCCAGTGCACCCTGGCCCCCGAGGACCCACGCTCAATTAAGTCAAATAGGCGGAAAGAGAACATCTGAAGGCGGCGTCGATCAACCAGCAAAGAAGCCTCGGAAAGCCAAGCCGTATGTACCAACATTACGATCCGGTCCATATGCACTGATGTTGGGATTGGGAACGCAAGACGAGAATGCATCTCAGGGGATGACGAAGGCTCACCTGATCGAGGTGGCCCAGCCGTACTGCGACAGTTCGTTCACGGCACCCCCGGACCCGACCAAGTTCTACACCGCGTGGAATTCAATGAAAACTCTGCTTCAGAAAGATCTAGTCTATGAACATGGACGTCCTCTTCGGAAGTATCTTCTTTCCGAAGAAGGCTGGGAGGTAGCCAAACGTCTCCAAAAGACATTACCTGGCGCTACTCAAACCGCCAGGTCTGGCTCCCAAGCTACTACAACGACTGAGTCTCAGCAAGGAGCGTTGGCAACCGAACTTGACTCACTCCAACAAGAGGACGATCCATCGGCAGATGTGCAAGAAAATCTATCCGAACAGGATATAGCCAACATAGAGCCCATCTTCTTCCCACCCAAGAGCTTCACCATCCAGCTTATATTAGACACCCGAGAAGTCCGCACCTCCACCGACCGCGACTACATCTCCGGCGAACTTATGAAGCAAGGAATCACGCCGCAGGTACGCGCCCTGGAAGTCGGCGACGCAATGTGGGTAGCCAAATGCCACGACCCAAATTTCCTCGTAAGACACGGCGAAGAAGGAGATGAGGTGATGCTAGACTGGATCGTTGAGCGAAAGCGTCTGGACGACCTGATCGGGTCTATCAAAGACGGCCGCTTCCACGAACAGAAGTTCCGGCTCCGTCGCTCCGGTATCAAGAACGTCATCTACCTGATCGAAGAGTTCGCATTCACACACCCTGACCCGACTAGCGGGAGTGCGGCGCAATACCAGGAGATGGTTGCGTCGGCCATCGCCTCGACACAGGTCGTTAATCAATATTTTATCAAAAAGACGAAACATCTGGACGAGTCAATCCGGTACCTGGCGCGCATGACTCTGCTCCTGCGGAAGATGTATGGCGTCGAAGATGCGCCCTCCACTGGGGTTGCTGATAGCAATGTCAACCGTAGCACGGTCACTCCGTCTCCAGTATCCAAAATTGGCCTCATCCCCGGCCGCCGTCTCTCCACTGACTCCTACCTCACCATCCTCGATAATCTCCGCTCTCGAGACCCGTCCATCACCTACGGCGTCTCATTCGTGACTTTCTCCGCACTGACTTCCAAGTCCGACGTTCTTACTCTTCGTGATGTATTCCTCAAAATGCTTATGTGTATCCGTGGCGTGACGGGCGAAAAAGCCCTTGAAATCCAACAGATCTGGCCAACGCCACGGCATTTGGTGGATGCGTACATGGCTTTGGAACCTAAGGAGCGAGAGACGATGATAGCGACTCGGATGTCAGAAGTTGTAGGGCGGAAGAAAGTTGCTAAAGATCTCAGCAAGCGCATTGCCGAAGTTTGGGGGAAGGCGAATTTGTATTAGGAATCCTATCGAGGCTACTTGGAAAAAGACCTGAGTACTGAGTTCATTCACATGTATTAGGTAGAAACATAACGCTAAAATGAAATAAATAAATATAATAATGTCTACTTCTTCCTTCTCACAATCTTCATAATACCTTTTTTGTCAATCCTCAAAGCCAAGCTACTCAGCACAACAGAAATACTGCTCAGTGCCATAGCCAGAGCAGCCCACACAGGACTCAGTCTCCAGTGCTCATTGACCATGATCATCTCACCATCAGTAGTTTTCTGATGATGGCCACTCACGATAGGATACAGCACACCAGCAGCAACCGGAACCAAACAGAGGTTGTAGATGACCGCCCAGCCGAAGTTCATACGGACTCGATTGAACACACGACGACTGAGCAGGACCAGCTGCAAAATCGTGCTGAGATCTGAGTTGAGTAGGATGAAGCTGGCAGAGTTGATAGCGACGTCGGAGCCAGATGCCATGGCGATGCTCACATCTGCTGCTGCCAAAGCGGGCGAGTCGTTCACTCCGTCGCCGACGAAGGCGACAATGGGACGTGATGTGCTTGAACTCGGTGTGGTCTCACCATCGGCTGGTGTTGTATTCGGCGAACGTTTTTGAATCTGACGAACAAAGCTGGCTTTCTCCGCTGGCAAGACGTTGGCCATCACTTTGGAGCGCGGGATGCCTAGCATGTCCGCGACCGCATGGGCGGTGGTATGATTATCGCCAGTGCACATGAAGACATCGACGTGACGCTTTTGAAGCTGAGAGATTACATCGACAGCTTCCGGACGAATCGTGTCTGAGGTGGCGAAGATAATGGCAGGTATGAACTTGGATGGTTTGGCGGACGGAGGGTGTACTTGACGGAGTGAGAGGACTGCAGTCGACTTGCCTGCTGACTGGTATTTCGCCAGAAGGTTGGAAACAAAGTAAGTGTCCGTTTCGGGGGACACGAGACTCTTGAGAAGACGTTCGTTGCCAATTGCAGCTTCATACTGCTCTTCGTCCTCGGAGCCAGACACAGTAAAAGTTCCTTTCATGCCTTGCCCGGAAATCTCATGAACGTCCGAGGACTTGACAGAGGAAGATTGCTGTGTTTTGCAGAATTCAGTGATTGCCTGGGCAATCGGATGGTTGCTGCTCTCTTCCATTTTCCGAGCCAGAGCCCATGCGATTTTCGCAACTTCTGGGTCACCGGTCAAAACTTCATGGTCAGAGACTTTCAGGCTTCCACCCTCAGTCAATGTGCCTGTCTTGTCAAAGACGATTGCATTCAAGCGACTGGCTTCTTGGAAGGCTTCACCACCACCTTTGACCAGAATACCATGCTTCGCTGCTAGGCCGCCCCCAACGAAAAGTGCCGTAGGGGCCGCAAGGGCCAGGCCGCAGGGGCAAGCCACCACAAACACTGCGACCGCAAATTCCAGCGCCCAGAATGTCCAGCCGCCATGTGCGACATCGAGATAATCCGCCGGGAGCACACCGGAATGACCAAGCGCCAACCAGATAACGAAAGTCGAAATGGCGATAAGAGTGATAATAGGCACGAAATGCGAAGTGAGAAGATCAGCAACTCTTTCAACAGGTGCACGCTTGCTTTGTCCCTCGCGAACCACGGCGATGATTTGGTCAAGCATAGATGAACCACCGAGCTCGGTGATACGGATCCGTACCGGCTGGCCGACGTTAACTGAGCCTGTGTAGACCATGTCGTCGGCTTTCTTCTTGACTGGTCGCGATTCTCCGGTCAAAGAGCTTTCATCAAATTGGTATGACGCGCTGCTCACGATGACTCCATCTGCAGGAGGCGAGGCGCCATGGGGAATACTGACGACGTCACCAACCTCCAGGAGGTCAACGCTCGTACGCTTCACTCCATCTTCGGAGGCGTTATCAGACAACAGTGCTTCTGAAGGTCGAAGTTTGCCCAAAGATGTGACAGCATCACCAGTTTTGGCTTTGCTATAGGCCTCCAGGAATCGACCAGCAAGAATGAACAGAGTCAAGAAGACAACCGAGTCAAAATAGGTCGTGCTATGGGGGCTGGACTTGGTACCCACAGCTGCATCAACAATAAGAACTGCCAGAGACGAGATATAGGCCACTGATGTGCCCGCAGAGATCAAAAGGTTCATACTACCAAAGCGGTAGAATCTCCGAAGGATCGGCACGCGACTCCCAGGCCGCCATAGCGCATAAATTTCCTTCACGGCCCGGACATGGAACACATCAGTGCCGTAAAACATGACAGGAGTTGTCATTATAAACAGCGCCCATTCGATGCGGGTCACACTGCCAGACCACATGGTTTGCTCCAGATACATTCGAACGGAGTTTTCAGACGAGACAAGAGACATGAATACAATCCCTATGAGGAAAGTCGGGATGGCACTGATAAATACGAAAAGCAATCGTGCCAACAGACGGCTCCTCTCATGATGTTGGATCGCGCGAGACCGGTCTTCAATGCTGGGCGGGTGATAGACAATCCCGCGAAAATTGTCATTCGCCGAATTGATAGCTGAGATTATTGTGCGAACGGTGAGAAGAGGTGGCTGTGGAATGTAGGTGACTTTGAGGATGGGGGTTTTCTCGGAGAGTGCCTCCTCGATGGTGACACCGGGAACCGATTTCACTGCCCCCAAAACAGTTTGTGGGCAATGGTGACAGAACATTCCATCCACTCGTATAGAGATTGTTCTGATCTGTGCAGTGCTCAACTTCTCGGTGCCGACTTTCAATGGGGAGACGCTATTGACGGTGGCGTCGTAACCAAGGTCTTCAATCTTCTCTATGATTTTATCAAGATTGTCTCGGCCTTGGAATTCCACCCTCCCGCTATGGGAAAGCAGGTTCACAGACACATCGCGAATGAAAGGCAGTTCTTCAAGTCCTCGCGTCACCCCTCCGACACAAGAGCCACAGGTCATGCCGGTGATTGCAATCTCACTGATGTAGTTTGCTGCCGGTTCTGCAGGTGCCGGTAGTTTGGGGACCTGGTTCACTTCTTCAAGAGATGCTTCGAATCCAGCATCATTGATTTGCTCAACAATCTCGTCGACATTATCACGGGGTCCAACATAGATTACTGTTGCGCTGTTGGTGAAAAGGTTGACAGTGATTTCCTTCACAAACTCAAGTTGTTGAACTTGTGCAGTGATGCTGTTGGCACATGATGCGCAGCTCATCCCTCCTATGCTAATCTGTGCGGTGAACTCATCGGTTGATTCAGCGGACGGGCTGGGAAGTTCTGTTATGTCTGTGGGTACTCTTGGGGCAGACACATCAGGTTGAACTCTCGTTTCGGATGTGGCGAATGACCGGAGACTCTCCTGCACATCATTCTCAGGAGTTGGCTCAAGCTTTGCGGCAGTGATGTCTTGTCCGTTGTGCCTGCTCAAAGGCCGGAAGGGACTCTGCGAGGACTTCTCGTTCAAAGATCCTAGCTCCGTTCGAGAAGAAGAATGACGGGAAAAGGTCTCTAGTTCTTCCTTCCTGCATGCATCACAGTTCGCGATATGTCGTTTATGTCTGCTAGTCTGAATTCGCTCTTTTATATTGGACGAGATGCTAGAAACAGAGGTTCGCGGCGAAGAGAACAGCGTGGAGCCGCGGTGATTCCAGGAAGAGGTGTCGAGTCCTGCGATGAGCCTTCCTTGTTGGTCAAATGTGGTCACATATTGTACTTCAAAAGCGGCATGAATCAGCGCGTTGACGAGGTAGGCCGGCCGAACGGCGGTGCTATGGCTCGCACGCACTTCATGTGTCAAAATCGTCACTTCGATATTTTTGACAGTAGGAGTCTCAGAGAGCACTTCAGTGATATATGCAACACATGATGCGCAGTGCACATTCGACACAAAGAAGACACTGGTCTGGTTATCAAAGTCTTGATGGACTGCCTCCGGATCGGAAGGCTTATTGAGTCCTGAAGACATGATTGGCAGAGGTCTCTGCGGCCCAAGGACGGGGTATAGTGTGTGACAAGTGATGTATCGATAGCAAGCCCTAAGTAGAGTCGATGCTTCAAATATCTTGCTCAAACCAGGTTGGAAACAGGCAGCTGTCGGGATTCAGTGTTTACAGAGCGTTCTGGTATTAAGATGAAGGGAAGAGCGACCAGCGGCGATTTATCATATAAAGCAAAAGCTGGGAACGGTATTTGATTTGCAATGCAATATAGTATTTCATTAAGAAAGAAAAGAAAGGAAAATCCTAGAAGTGGGTGGATAAGTTGAAACATGGCGAAGATGCGCCATTTGTGCGCGATTCCTCCAAACCACGCACAAATACCGCATTCCAGACATCTGAACCATGCCCCCTGCGGCCCCTATGTAGTATTCCGCTAGGTTCAAGGCTGGAAATCAAGAATGAGGCCGGATTCCCGTATTCGACATTGTAAAAGCAACTCCACGTGCGTGGAGTATCAAGTCGGATGATGCTATGCAGCAGTGGTCATGGATCATCCAGGAACCTCAGGCACCGAGGCGCGACAAAAAGCTAGGTGGTACTAAGCCTAATTAGGCTAGCGTGTCATAAACCAATTTAGGTCACGTGATCAATCAGTGGGATCCATCAATCAGCCATTCATGCAACACTAGATATGTAGACAATAGACAAAGGAAATTATCTGAGCAGATTGTTCATATGTATTTGACTCAACTCTGAGTTGCTCTCCAATCGATTCCAGAGATTCATGTCGTATGTTCGAAACCAGCTCGCTCAGCCGGCCAATTACATAAGCAGGTTGAATACTTTTTCCTCTCACTTCCACTTTCATCCTTATCGCGATTCTCGTGACAGTCGATAAACCCTTCGCTACAAAAAAAAAAAGAAGGGCTGCGCGACGCCTATTTAAGAAATTCCGAGGCTGTGAGGACTCGGCCTCCATCGAGGTCCCCCGTCTGCATTCAACCTCTGACCTCTTACGTTTCGCTTCAATCAAAATGTCGGCGCCCAAATCCGGCGCGCGCCCAATCCCTCCCCGCGGCCCCCGGCCTCCTGTGGGACGACTTGCCAGTCTAAAACCTCCCAACTCTACTCCTATCAATCGTCCCACTGCTATTGGACGTCCTCAACCACCCCGCCCGACAACACACCCGAAAACATCTAATTGTCCAAACCCAGGATGCCCTGCTCCGCATATCGTCGATGATGGAGGCGTGAAGGTCTGTACGGGCTGTGGTACAGTCATCAGCGAGAACAACATCGTATCTGAAGTCACGTTCGGTGAATCCTCGTCCGGTGCAGCTGTTGTACAGGGATCTTTCGTCGGAGAAGATCAGACACACGTACGCAGCTATGGTCCGGGTTTCCAGCGCGGTGGCGCCATGGAGAGTCGGGAAATGACCGAACAAAATGGAAATCGGTATATGCTTCAACTTTCCCGGGCTTTGACCATCCCGGAGAGTGCGACCAAAGCCGCCGGCCAGGTCTTTAAACTTGCCGTGGGATTAAACTTTATTCAAGGTCGTCGCACAAAGACGGTAGCTGCGGTCTGCTTGTATATTGCATGCCGTCGCCAAAATGGCAATACTGTCATGCTGATCGATTTTGCCGACGTGTTGATGATTAACGTCTTCAAACTTGGCCGTACATACAAAGCACTTCTCGACGAACTTCGCCTCGGTGGCAACGTCTTTCTCATGAACCCTATCGACCCCGAAAGTTTGATCTATCGTTTCGCCAAGCAACTCGAATTCGGACCATCTCTCATGGCGGTTGCTGGCGAGGCAGTCAGGATCGTTCAACGAATGAACCGTGATTGGATGACCACCGGTCGACGCCCAGCTGGTCTCTGTGGTGCCGCACTGATTCTTGCCGCGCGCATGAACAACTTCCGCCGAACTGTACGTGAGGTCGTCTATATCGTCAAAGTGACGGAAACCACTATCAGCCAGCGTCTGAACGAGTTCGGGTCCACCGAGAGTGGTGAATTGACCGTTGATCAATTCCGTTCGGTCCAATTAGAGAACACTCACGATCCCCCGTCCTTCACTCGCGGGCGAGAAGGTCGGAAAAGCCGCGTCAAGAGGTTGCCAGAGACTGCGGCAGAACTCGAAGATGACGACTCTCCAACCGAAAGTGAAGCAGAATCGGTGCAGCCGCCTCGTATAGATGCCGATGGTTTCGCTATTCCCAGTCTCCCTATCGACCCAGCTTTGACTGCAACTAGTCACGGTCGACGAGCATCAGTAATTGCGAAGGCAGTGAATGAAGTTGTTGAAGATATCAAAAACGAACCGGTTCACTCCAAGGGTAAGGGCAAGCGACAACCCACACCAGAACCGTCTGCGGAGCAAGTCGCATCTGAAGCGGCGCTGGAAGATGAAATGCGATCTATGCTTGCTCAAGGATCAAATATGATTGAGAGCGTCGGCTCCGATCAACCACCGCGGCCCACCGTTTCCGACAGCACTGAAATCGATGCTGCCGAGTTTGAAGATGACCCGGAAGTCGCCAATTGTCTGCTCTTGCCTGCTGAAGTCGAGATCAAGGAGTCAATTTGGGTGACAGAGAACAAGGAGTACCTCCGCACCCAACAAGCGAAAGCCCTAAAGCGGGCCCTGGAAGAGTCAACCGGAGGAGGCGCACCTCGCAAACCACGCAAGCGCCGTCGTGGCCGCCTTGGCGATGTAACCTATCTGGAGGGTGAGGGCGAAGATGGCCGCGGCTCCCGTGCCTCGACACCGGCTGAGGCGACACGTCGCATGCTCGAGCGCCGAGGTTACAGTAAGAAGATTAACTACTCCCTCCTGGACACCCTGTACGGCGGCGAAGGGGGAGACGCAAAGGCGCAAAGCGTGAGCCGAAGCCAAAGTCGCAGCCAGAGCCTCGTCTCACGACGCAGCGCCAGCATCGAGCCGGAAGCCACTTCACGATCCCGGCGTGCAACTCCGTCGGATACCAAGTTCGATGCCAAATTCATCCGTCCTAGCTCTGCCGCGCCACTACCTACTCCACCGTCCACCGCTCCAAACACCCAGGATACGAAGCCAGCCATTGCCAGGGATGGCCCGGTGGATAAGATCGAGGCAGATCCTGAGGAAGAGGAGGACGATGAGGAGGACGATTATGATGACTACGAGAAGGATGATGGTGTCGACGACGCACTTGCAGGCAACTACGAAAGTGAATATGAATATAGCGATAATGATGACTGAGGAATTTGACCTCGGAAGTATCCATCGTTAAGCATTTGTCACGTCCTTTTTGTGGAGTTATTGGGATCAATTGCTATTTCCACCTGCTTTCTTTGACCTTTTGTTTTTACAGCCTTCGAGATGATACGATGATACCATGTCTTTCACCCACACGAGCATTGGGGTTTCCGGAATTGAATTATCATATTAATATCTCACGATTGCAATTGCGTTTTGCTCGATTGCATCGATGTACTCTAAGCAAAGCACTCGCTAAACCTGACTATCATCAAGCCCCTAGATCACTAACTATGTATATATCTATAATGATCGTTATACCACACTTCATCCTCCACCTAATTTACTCTTCCCCTATTCCAAGTTTACCCTAAGCAAGTATTACCTAAATGGTCAACCGTGCCACCACTCCACCATAGTTTAAGATTGAAATCATAAATTCCCAATAACAAGCAACAGCAATAATTAGATCTCATTTTCAAGCACTACGGAGACATTTGAGGCACAATCTCACAAAGCAGGCAAAATCAGACGTTTCAGCCACGAGGCAATGACACATTGCATACAAGATCAGCTGTAATAAAGTCGACATAGCTGCCGGTACTCCTTTGAGGGGATGTAGGGCGCCACGCCACACCTCCAACGAGCAATCCAGTCATCACAAATATCAAGTATCTGCGCGCGTGCGTTACCCCAGCCATAAATAACACGAGCCCTGATGTTGAACAAACGGACCATCTCCATAGGAAGGTTCGATAGTTCATTTTGGCTCCCACAGTCAACTCCCCAATGGAGACCATAGCGGTCGAGAACGACCGCCTTCCACCGGTCAGCAGTCTCCGGGTCAGTCTTTTCTTTGGCAGTGATAGTCCGGATGTCGGCGCGAATGTCTCCTTCGTAGGTGGTATCGTTTGGACCACGTCCCGTCGGGGAAGGAGCTTTACACCATGCATTCAGGACAATTTCCCGTTGACTGCGAGTTTCCTCCCGCGTACTCCTTTTTTTCCGCGTTAGGTTTCCGATCGCGCTTTCAACGCCTTCCAGTCTTTTGATAATGCAGTGATACCGATCATCTCGCTCGGTCGAATTTTCCTGTCCGATATCGCTGGGAGGTGTCGTGTGTTGTTTAACTCTTTTGCCAATGCGGAGCATGCGGAGCTCTCTCGATTCGTCCATCCCGTCTCCATCCTCGAGCTTGTTCGATTTGTCAATCCCGCGTCCGTTCTCGATCTCTTTCGACTTGTCCATCCCGTCTCTTTTCTCGATCTCGTTCGACTTGTCCATCCCATGTCCGCCCTTGCAGTCCTCGGCATCGACCCAAGCAAAAGGCTCTTTCTCCATGGTGGGTGGGCTCTGATGATCTCGCTTTGGTGGTTCTTTAGTGCGGTGGGAATTAGATACGGTACCTTGTGGACGTAAAAAAACCAGTGGAGAGGAGTCGTAATGAGCAGATTAGTATAAGAAAGGAGACGAGAAAGCTTACTGCATACTGACGACTTGATTTCTTGAGATGAGGGAACCCTATAAGATATTAAACCATGCCAGGAGTTTGGGAAATCCTTGGTTCGTTAATATAAGAGAAAAGGTAGACGACGCTTCTATTTATAAAATGAAGTGGGATAGTACTAAAGAAAAAACGGGTTAGATGCCTTTAAAGTGGTTGTAGACTATTTCTCGTACTCAGTCAAGCTACATTACCCCAATCCCTAGAATGATTTTAATCATTTTGATTTAATGAGATAGATAAGTCGTAGATAAATAACGTCGTCAAAAGCATGCCCAGGTGCAGCAAATACTAAAGAAAACTCCCAGATTACGACGCCGGCCATTTCCAATAAGAGAGAGGAAAGCAAACCACCCAAAATCCATCAAACCCTTCACTGGGCGAGAACCGAATTGGGCCAGACTGGGTCAGTCAGGCGCGTGAGTCTCATAACTAAATAAGCAATACTGAAGAACAATTGAAAAGTTGAAGGAAAAAAGGATGATAGAACAGCCGGAAATAAGTCCGAAATGGATCGCGCGGATTGGTTGGACGTCGAGTCATCATGGCGGGTCGGATCGATGTTGTCGGATCTCACGGGATCTGAGGGAATCGAATGCGTTTTTGGAACAAGTTATGAGTCGATCTCCATCCCCATTTCCGCGCCTCCGCTCAGTTCGTTGAGGCCTGATGCTTGCGGGTTGTTGGACAGGGCGTGTTGGAGAAGTGGTACGCCAGTATCCATGGAGTTGAAGGAGACGGGTTGTGCGCTAGGTCGGTCTGTAGCTCCAAGAGGGGCAGTGCCCTCCAATATGATGGGGGAGCTACGAAGATTTTGAAGACAGGCTTCCCAGGAGGAGGCAACGAGCTGGCCTTGAGTGAGGTCTTCAGTGAAGAGATAAAAGGCGGGCGAGGATCTAGAAGTTGGAGTGGCAGCCACAAGATAGGCGTTCAGACCGCGGCTTTTCATGAGCATCTGGGAGTCGTGCAGGTGGGCCGAGTATTGGTTATCGATATACTTAGTCCAGCCACGAACAGCAGGAGCCATGTCATCGTCAGTGTTGACACGCTGCCAACCGATACCTAGGAGACGAGTAGCGTCATCTACTAGAGGCTCGGCGGGCGGAGCAGGCCCCACATTGAGAGTGCGATGCTGATCGTTGGAGCTGGGGTCGTCCAGGCGTTGGCGGATCGAGGACAACGCAATATCGTCCAGACCAGGTGCAGATTTATCAAGGCGCTGGGACTTGCGGCTTAGATCGGTAGCATCAGAAAGCACCGCGGTCGATCGCGAGGAAACAGGTGCAGCGGCAGCCTGTTGTGCCTCAGCCTCTTGTTCGTACCATGTGCCAGTCTGGCTCTCGGCAGAGATCGCAAGGCCAGTCTGCGGGTTTAAAAGGACCATGCCTTCTCCATAGATGGGCTTGACCTTGGGTGCTGGCGCCACCTGGTGCCTTAGGGGTGCACTGGGAGCAACGGCCTCTTCAAAAGTGGCCTCATCACGAGACCTTTTGCGGGAGGGCTTGGGAACCGCAGGAGAGGGTGAGAAATTGAAGCTCGAGGGGTTAGACTGTGCAGAGCTGTTGTTGGCAAAGACATTGCTGGAGCTTGCCGGATAGCCGTTGAAAATTCCTTGAGAATCGAGGCAAGAGGACTGGGAGGAGAACTGAGCGAAGGCGTGTTCCCGGGGAGGAGAGAGGACCGTGGCCGGGCCGTCCGAGAGGCGATTAAGAATCATTGGGCACATCGTCGCTCGGAATTGTGACAAGGGGAACTGTCCTGTTAGATTAGATGAGCGAGACACAAGAAGCTTTAACCACCTGTGGAGAGACGGAAGACCGAGAGGTAAAAGGTGGAAGATGTCTCGAGAAAAAAAAGGTAAGAAGAATATATAGAGAGAGGGAGAAAGGTGGGATTGAAAGAAAAGAGAAAGAATTGGGAGGAGAAAATGGGAAAAATGGGGGGAAAGAACAAAGTAGAGCGAGGTAAGAGTAAGGGTAGGAGCGTGAGACAGGAAAGAACGATCTGAAGAAGTGGATGGATCGATGCGCGAAATGCGGAGGTACCAAGCCAAACGGTAATATACCACCAAAAGGCAGCTACCCGATCGACTGTGACGGTATTGATACATGCTCTATTAATGGGTGCCATTGGCTCATGCAGCCAAGACGTCTTAGGTGGAGTCCGGTTGGATGGGTCCAGCCCAGACACGATTGGCCTATCAGATGGGCGGACTTTTGACCCGCGATAATTACATCACGCGAAATTCAAAAATCACGTGTTAGTAGAGAGAATCACGTGCATGGAATGAGGTCATGTAAGTTTCAAGTCTATTTGGGATACTACAAGACATGAATGGAAAAGAAAAAAGCACAGCGACCACAAGATCAGGTCTAAAGCAAACCGACACCAGAGCTCGTGCAAGTCTAACATCAATCGA